GGGGATATGGAAGCCCGGGGGTCTGCAGCTGCTCCCCGAAAACTCTCGGGTGTTCAGGCCCGGCCAAGAGCGGAGCCCGGTGCCCGCACACGGCCGGGCTGTTCCCGAGCCCATCCTCGCCCAGCTTGGGGTGGCTACGGCCGGGCTCAGCTCATTGCCCAGCTTCACCCCGCAGCAAGGGGCACGGCAAAGATTTGGGACAGGGAGCGCTCGGCTCTGAGGCTGGGACCCCGCTCACGACCGGCTCTCGCTGCTTTTAGGTTTGCTGGGAAACGGAGGCAGGAATACCACAGCAGCTACGAGACCTGGGAATCATGGCAAATCCCTGGAAATCACAGCAAATCCAGCAAATCCCATCGCCTCTGCTGGAAACCCTCTCAAGGGCAGCCCCCCAGGGGCTGAGAGAAATCCCACAAAGAAAGGCTGGACGCTAAAAGGTTCTTAAATATTTAGTTCAGATTTATTTAAAGTCAAGTCAGTTTGTGGACACTATTTATATTATTAAAAACACTTGGAGGTTTGTACTTCTAGCAAAAATATACATTTCAGTTTGAGGGTTGTTACACTGTCGAGGAGGGAAGAGCAAAAAGTTCCCCAGGCGATGAGCACGCGAGTCCCGCATGCCGGCCACGGCAAGGGATGCCACCGGGGGCTGTGGGAAGGACAAATCCCCTGGGCTCCGTCCAGCACACGCACGTCTCCGGTGCCTTCCCCGAGAGGGCTTCAAAGTGCTTTAGAAACGGTAATTCATAACACCCCTGCGAGGTAGGGAGGGGAAGGGGCTGGGCGGGCAGAGGGTGGGGAAACTGCGGCACGGCAAGGAGCCGGAGGGCGGCAGCAGGGGCAGGTTTGGGACCGGCCAGCCCTGTGACGTGGAGGGGAAGCCCAGCGCTCTTCCCCTTTGAGTTTTAAAGGAATTATTGCACCAGGGAAATCTGCTACCCTGAAGAGGAGGAAAATAAAATAAAACCGACTAATTTGCTCCCACAGCCCCTCCTTGGGAATACCAGCATTTTAATAAGGCTGCTCGGGACACACGGGACCACGAGCTGCAGACGGGTAAGTGCCACTTCTCAGGTCAGACACCATCATCCCGAGAGGGGACCGAGCCCTTCCCGGATCCGTCCCCTCTCCCAGAGCCCGGGTGACGCAGCCCCCCACGCAGGGGTCCCGTCCCGGGCACAGGCGGCAGCACCGTGGCGTTTCACTACAGCTGCGAGAAGTTGCGAGGTAAAGTCCCAGAAGGGCTCTGGGTTTAGGCAGACCCCGAAGCCTGGAGCTGTCCCCGCACTCGGGATGGCGGCAGAGGAGGGCAGGGCAGCTTCCCTGCCCCAGCCACGCTCACCAGGAAGCTCCTGCTCATTGTAAGCATCCCACCCTCTCCCTCCCCTTTTATAAATACTTGGCATTTGTACTGTTTTACAGCTGCAAAGCTCTTTGCAACCAATGCACTGATTAATCCTCATGCTCCCCTTCCGAGCGGAGAGCAGGTGACAATCCAGCTCCCTTTCACAGAGGGGAAACTGAGGCAGGGCAGTTAACAGACAGGTCAATGTCCTTTCAGCATCATGAGCACTGTGGGCTGGCCGTGGCTTTGCTTTCCCCTTGCTGGTGTTGCTGAAGGCTTTGCTTGCTCCGGTGCTCACAGGAGCCACGCTGCCGGGAAGCCTCTGCTGCCCGCGCTGCCCTGCAAAACCCCCAGAGCCCCCCGGGGCTTGGGAAGGGAGCTGCAGGACAAGCTGCAAGCCCTGCCGCCTAAACCCCGACCAGTCCCAGGCCTGCCCCTGGCCCTGCACAGACCTTTTTGGTAACTCATGGCTCTGCAGAAAAGCCTGGGGAAGCAAACAGATTCTGGCCTCTGCTCTGAAGGTGATTTTTTATGAGTCAAACCCTTTCCCTCCCAGCTCCCCATCCCTCCCTCTCTCATGCTGAGGGGCAGGCTCCCTCTGAAACGGGGGTACCAGGGCAAGGGCTCCCACACGGCACTCAGGGGAAGGCAGAGATCACACAATCCCTCTGGGAGACAGGAATACGCCGCACAGCGAGGGGGGGCTGCAGCTGAGGGTCTCTGCTAGGACAGCCCTACCCGTCTTCGAATACTCTGGCTTTTCTTTGGGAAAGAGAGAAACATCCTTTCATTACACTGTCCTAAACTTCACGGCTCAGGACTACGTCTTCGGAGTGCAATACAAAAAAGAAAATAAAGACACGCTGTAAGTGCTGTTGCTGGCCCCGCCGGATACCTGCACCGCGCTCTGGTCTCCTAATGACCAGAGCATCCCCCACCATTCCCAAGCTGCCGCAGGAACCCCACCGTCTGGGCCATGTAAACCGGCCGGCCGCTCTGGAGGCCCCAGGGAGCAGCTGAAGAACTGGGCCATAGTAACGGAAACAGTAGCTTATGATTTGCCTTTGTAAATTTGTTAGTGTGTGTTAACGGAAGCCCTGGCCTAGCAGGTGGTGGCTGCAAAATCTTACGGCATCTTGCCCTATGTACCATACGTCAGGGTCACGTAGAAGAGTTTCCAGTAGAAGAAATGGAAGACATGGGGAAAGGTTTTCTTTGTTTCTGTACAAAGAGTCTTGATGGGAATCCATGGCTTCATTCTCATAAATAACAGGTCCTTAGTACATGTCCTTGTAAATCTCCTGCAGAAGTGGGTGCAGAGATGTCTCCGTCTCCGTCTTCTTGATCTTCTGCACCAGCTGGGCATGCTCCGTCACCAGCTGCCGCAGGTCGGCCATCTTCTGCAGCAGCTTGGGGAAGAGGTACTGGGCATCCGGGTGGTTCGAATGCAGGTGAAACTCCAGCGCTCGCAGGATGTTGTCTTGGATCTCCTCCACCTGCTTCACGTTCATCAGGCCAGGACGGTCTGTGGAGAGGAAGCACGGTAGCTGTAGTGTTATGGTGTAGCCCTCCAAAGCACATGCTCCTCCTGGGGAAAGGGAGACGGGGACTGTAACCCACCCACTGTGACTCCAACCTTGTCAACTAGACAAGGGGAGAAGTGTGCTCTTGGACAACATATCCCACAGCAGCATACAAGGAGGAGATGCCACTTCTACGCTCCTTGTTCTTGGTCCAAGCTTGCTAGGCGTCACCGCCATGGAGAAGCTTTGGTTTTGGAACTGTTCAGTTCTTCTCTCATCCCCCTAAGACACCCCTGGCTGATCTCAGGGCCAGCTGCAGCTCAGCTCCCCCAGCCCAGCCCCAACCACCTCTAAGTACAGGAGGACTCTTCCTGAGACTCACACGGCCAAGAGCACCCGCTCACCTCCGCACAGGATAATGGCAGCCACAAACAGAGACAGGTCACTGTCATCTAGCTCCAGCGCGTTGAATTTCACAGCAAACTCAAATTTGGGCTCCATGATCTCGTTGAAGGGCTTGCGCAGGCTACGCAGGAACTCGCGGGTCACGAAGCCGTTCCCGTTGGCCACCAACAGCCCATCCTTGTTCATGATGGAGGCCAGCATGGCAAAGATGGCCTCGTGCACCCCATACTTCAGCAGAGTCACTTGGTCATTCAAGTAGAGGCCTATGAAGCTGGGGATGCTTTTGGCGAACTCCGTGAGCTCCCTCACAGTCTCCACCGTGGTGCACTGGCAGCGGTAGAAGACGTGCACCCCGATCTCCTTGTAGGGGGGAATGCCATTCACTAGCTGTTTCCAGACCAGCCCCTTTTCTGCCTGCCACAAGGTGTCCATGTCGTGGATCACAAAAGGCTGCTTGAAAAAGAAGCAAGCAGTTAGGAACCTGCCGCGGGGACTCGAGATAACAGCTCTGCCAAGGACACTCGCATTTGTCTGCCTGTCAGTGCCCGGGCAACCCGCACCCACCCACAACAGCACAAGTCTGCAGAGCAATGGGAATTTTCCCAGCGAGGGGCAGGACGTGTAGAGCCCACCCAGCTGCAGCTGGGAACTGGTGCATGTGGAACAGCTACAGCAGGAGGGAGATGTGCAGCATCTCCCAGAGAACAGCCTCCCATGTGTCCTGGTTTTGGCAGGGATAGAGTTAATTTCCTTCTTAGTAGCCGGTACAGTGCTGTGTTTTGGATTTAGGAGGAGAACAATGTTGATAACACACCGATGGTTTAGTTGTTGCTGAGCAGTGCTTACACTAGTCAAGGACTTTTCAGCTCCCCATGCTCTACCGACTGAGCAGGCTGGGGGTGCACAAGAAGCTGGGAGGGGGCACAGCCAGGACAGCTGACCCCAACTGGCCAAAGGGACATTCCATACCATGGGACGTCATGCTCAGTACAGAAACTGGGGAAAGCTG